TTGCTCCGTGAGTAGGACCTTTTGGGACACATGTGTCCTAGATTTACGCTTTTGCGTACAAAGGTCCTTCATAAATTTGGCATATGATGGTAGTTACTTAATCGCCTCCAACAGGGGGGTTGATTTTTACCTGTTTAAAGAGCTCCATCATTGCCTTCATAGATGCCGCCTTCTTATTAAAAGGGGACGGTGTATCAAGGCACTGGGGAAAGGGTGCCTTAGGCACATATGGTGCCTTGGGCTCAAATGAAGTGCTAGGGACTAAGTCATCCCTCTTAAGTGTTTCCCTATCACCCTTACTCTCACTAGGTGAACCACCGTGGTCACCCTTCCTAACTCTAGTTGCATCAGACGCAACTGACTGAGGCTCTAGCTCCCTACCACTTCTCAAAGCAACCACCGCCTGCACTTGCTCATGTTGCTTACCATTACCACCCGAACTCTCTACCTCGTATTGTCCCTTAGGGTTGGCCACAGTTTGACTTGGTAATTTTCCCTCCTCTCTCTGATTCATGTTGTTAGCCATTTGACCCAATTGGGTCTCTATCTTGGCAATAGAGTGAATATGGGAGTGAACTATTGGTGCTAACCCCTTAAGTTCTGAGAGAACTTCCAACACCTGAGTCTCAAAGGCAGAGTTACCTTGAGGAACAGGCAGGGGTTGTGGCTGAGGTTGCCGGTATGGTTGTGGGGGTCTATAAGGTTGCGGTGGTCGGTAAGATGATTGGTTGGCAAAATTATTGAAATTCTGCCTTGGTGGTGGAGGATTGTAAGAAGTGCCTTGTGAAGGGGGTCTCCATGAGAAGTTAGGGTGATTCCTCCATCCCGGATTGTATGTGTTGGAGTATGGATCATTACCCGGGTTGGAGAATCCTTGAGCTGCATTTACATGCTCTTGGACTAACTCCGAAAATTGTGATGCTCCATTATTTTACTTTGACCCCAAATCATCTTTCTAAAATTATAAAAAAATAAATAAATCTACAAAGGTGTCTTGAGACATGTCCAAACACAGGACACGTGTGTTCATGAAGAATCCCCACATGCCCTACAAAAAAAATAATAAAAAAAAAATTGACATGCCACGTGGTGCGTCGGACACAAGGACACACATCCCCGTCGTGGCACATATTAACACGGCACCAATCTTGGAGTATCTGTGCTTCTTAGCTGCCTATATATGGCTGTCTCGTATATGAATGCCAGTTGGAATAAAATTCTCTCTTCTTTTAAGAAAACTGGTCAATCCCATGTGTTGGTGAAAAGAAAGAGTATATCTATTGCACGACCCATAGCATTTCTTCTGTTGAATATGCTATTATAGAACATTGAATAAGCACAGGGAAATCTTATACATTGGAAAGTGTGGCATTATTTTACTTTTGAAAGTATTGATGACTGATAGCCTACTTCTTAGTTTTTGGAATGTAGGTGCTTAGTTGGACTGTTTAACCATTGCTATCATGTGGGGATAACTACAAATACAATTTATTTATTGACCATGTTATCTAATGATTTGTGTGTTTACTATGAGACCAGCAACGTCAAAAGTTGATCAGCTAGCTAATACTAATGCTATTAGTGGAAGCTTTGGCTATCGAGGAGAAGCATTGAGCTCCATTTCTGATGTTTCATTGTTAGAAGTCATTACAAAAGCTCATGGGAGGCCAAATGGATATCGTAAAGTCATGAAGGCATGGATTGTTCTTCAATGTTTCGAATTTAATTTTTCATTTGTCAATTTTGATCGTCTTTACTGCCATTTTTCCAAGTATCCTGGTGGTTGACTTCCCATCATTCTTTCCAGGGATGCAAATGTTTGTATCTTGGAATTGATGATGGTAGGCAAGATGTAGGCACAACAGGTAAAAATTGTTGTGTAGTCACTATTGGCAAGCAAGTCACTATTATTTCTCCCATTTGGAAGATCTGTTTGTGCTTTTTTTGCCTGTTGTTTTCTTCTCTTTCTTGACACTGTTAAATGTTTGATAACAAGTTTAAATAAAACAAAAATTGGATTTGTAAGTAACAAGAACCTGCACAAGTATATTATGGTGGAGAGCATTATTCTGTTTGGTAGAAGGTAAGCAAATAGATTGGAGCTGGCCTTATGTGTGCACAAGTAAAGATTGCTTCTTTAGCATTACAAGAACAACACTGGAACTTCACCTGAAAACAAAATGATAAGCCGCTTTTAATCACCGTTCCTTTTCTTTGTTTTGAATTGTTTGGAACAGGGAGTTTCTGGCTTAATTAGCTCAGTGTTGAAAATGAACAAATTCAGGATTGGATCAGCCTTCCAGAAATTCCACTTAGAAGCCTCCTCTTAATAACATCTAATTAGCGTCTTTCTAGTGTCGCATGACTGCTTTTCATCACATTATTGTTTCCAAATTTTATATAAATAACTATTTTTGTTTTAATCTGCCATAACATTGTTCTCTTCACATTACATTGAGAAATTGTCCTTTATAAAAGGTTACTTTGGTAGATTGTCTAGTGAAAAGGAGAGATGGAATTTATAAACACACTTTGTGTCAATGCCTTACAAGTTTGTTTAAACTGATCATCAAAGCATCAATGTTTGCAGCGTGAATCCATTTTTGTAGCTTATTTTGAGGAAGTCAAACAACACAAAAATCATATCAATGGGCAAGAATTACCAAAGTACTGTTGGATTTGTCCATTAAAATTGTAAAGTTGGGTCACTTTGTGCTTCTTGTATGAACTACTCTGAGTATTTGTCCCAGTTTTCTTATATCTTTCTTTCAAATGATATTGGCTTTTAGGAATGCTAGAGTGTATGTGAATTGTAGGCTTGTAACTGCTTTATATGGTGAATAAATTTGCCTTCCCTTTTTCCTGTTGATTATGATGCAGATAAGCTTTGATTTGTTTTCTAAGAATAGTCTTGGGTCCTTGCAGTCATTGTTCGGGATTTATTTTACAACCAGCCAGTTCGGAGGAAGCATATCCAATCTAGGTTCCTCTTACTTTGCACATATTTTGCTTTGGGTTTAAATTTATTAATGATAGCCAACTACCTTAGCTGATATGATCATTTTACTCGTGATGATGTGCACTAACTTGATTTGGTTGTGATTTGCATAATGAAATTGGAAGCCCGAAGAAGGTCTTGCACTCAGTCAAAAAATGTGTTCTTAGAATTGCCATTGTTCATCCAAAAGTATTCTTCGAAGTTGTTGATATTGAGAGGTGTTCCTGCTCTACATTTGTCAATATAGCACTTGGAGGGTCATATATGTGTTTGCTTACATTTTGTTTTACCTGCATGCAGTGAGGATGAGTTGTTCTGCACGACTCCTTCCTCATCTCCTTTGTCACTGTTGACGAGTGGTTTTGGAATTGAGATTTTCAGCTCTCTACATGAATTAAATGTCTCTGATGGTGTATTAAAGCTTTCTGGATATATGTCTAGTCCTCGTGATACTTCATTTGTGAAGGTATACTTCATTTGATGATATAACTATTTAACTGTTTTGATATGCTTTACTGATTCCCCACTGTCAATAGTGCTAATTGAGGGTCCTTTTTCTTGCAGGCCTGTCAATTTGTCTGTATCTGTGAAGTTGATTATCTTGTTAGTGTGCAAAGGTTATATTGCACTAGATAGATTAGCAATTAAGACACTGATAAAACAAAAAGATCGGCAATTGAGATAATTGAGAATTTTGATTTTCTTGACCTTCACTTATGTAGACATCAACTCTCTTTATATCTGCAAGGGCCCAATTCATAAACTGCTGAATGAGTTGGTCACTAGGTTCAACTCTTCGGATCTGCAGGAGGCTAACATGAAGTTGCAAAATGGGAAGCGAAGTAGGTCTCAAACATATGAAACATATATTTTGAATTTAAGTTGCCCAAGATCTTGGTATGATATAACTTTTGAACCATCAAAGACTTCTGTTGAATTCAAGGTAACATTTCTTCTTGTTTGATCATGAACTGTGATATATATAATTAGCTAATTGATTGAGAATTTTCCTGGCTTATGAAGTTTGTTTGCCCTTTGTCAATTAGATTGTTTTGAGTGGAAAAGTGATTTTTGTCATTTCTCAAAATGTTGAAATATTGGAGACTTCAGTAAAATGTGCCTAGAAACGGAAAAGGGGTTGGGGGGGTGGTGAATTATGTTTATTGGCCCTATTTTAGCCTTTTAATCAAAATTTACCACAGTAAATAGCAATCACACGATAACACAGATTTTACGTGGAAAGCCCAAAAGGGAAAAACCATGGCCACAACACCCAACAAAAATCCACCAAACGATGATAGAATACAGGACACAGTCGAGAAAACTTACAACCGCATACTTAGGTTTCTCTACAACTCTGATGACTTGTGGTTACTCCACGAGCATAGCTTGACTCAGTCAGCCTTTTTGATCTTCTGGACACTACGAAGCAACAGCCTCGATCTCTATTCTTGAACGGATCCAATTACCCAATCAACCCTGTGTGCAGAACACAACAATGCAAAGATATGTAAGGTTTTTGGAAAACTATCTCGAGAAAATTCTCTCACAATGATCAAAATATTTGCTCAGAATTTTTCTAGTGTTTACAGAATTTTGACTGTGAAAAAACAATGGTTGGGATATAGAAAACCAAGTTATAGAGGTGTTTATATTGAAACTCAGCTTCCAAAGCCAATTTACGAAGGATTTGTGAAAACTAGGGTGGCAATCGATCACAACTAATAAGGGATCGATCACTTTCAAAGTGAGGGATCGATTTCACATCGATCACTGTTGATCGCATGCTTCTGTTGAAACAGGGATTGTTTGGGGATTGATGCTTCTGTTGAAAAATTTTCATTTGTGCATTACACTTGATATAGCAGTATATATACATATATTTTCCTTCCTTCTGTCAATTTTGGATGATTGGTGTTGTTTCTTCCTCCTTGTGTGTGATTCATTTGCCTAAATGCTGTAGATGGCTTGTCTACCTCATTCTTCTCACTTACAGTGTGCTAGTATTTCCTTCAGGGCTTTAGTCTTACTAATTTAATTTGTTTGGTTATCACTCTGTTGTGAAGTAATTTCGGAATCCAATTGTTCCCTTGATCCTCTCTCTCTCTCTCTCTCTCTCTCTCTCTCTCTCTCAGGATTGGTCTCCCATTATTAATTTTATTGGAGGATGCACATTTCAATGTGGATGCCAGCATAAGTAATGGATTTAATGGGAGTGCATTATCTCCTGATTGTTTTGAAATAGGTGATGATGTGGACAAGATCAGCAAGGATCTAAAGCCCTTTCTGCATAATTGCTCCTGTAGGAGAAGCCTTCCAGTTGATGGCGCATCACCTGCAAGCTCTGAAGGATTTGACTTTCGGATTAATGGTTTTGGAGCCAAAAGAAAGAGTCTTGAACCTAATGATTGGGTTTGTGTTGGAGAAATTGATGACAATAACCAGAGGTTTGATTTCCTTCCAGGGACTCTATGGTAGGATGAGGCAGCAAGTGCTTGGTCTTCCCCCGGACCCATGTCTAAGTGTGACGTGCTTACAGGTCTGGATTTTTTGTCAAGGGATTCAATAGAGTCTTCTGCAATAGGTGGAGAGTGTTTAGCTGGAGAGAATGACCTTCCACCAGACTCAATTGCACGTGTTGGAGAATTTTTCTCAAGTCGTCAGTCTCTTAAATCTGAATGGTCTTCTGTAATGTCAGATCCATTAGTTAGGACCAAATCTCAGAATGTGGATAATTTCTTTGATGAGAATGCACTTGAGAGGCGTATCAAATATGACAATAGTTCTAGATATGACTATTTAGCAGAAAGGGTTGTTAAGGACCGTGGCTTTTATTTTGATGATTCTTTGCGAAAAAGCTCAAGTCAAGAAGACTTCTCAACAAGTTTTGCAAACATGTGCTCAGGTTTTGAAAGTTGTGTTCATTCCAAGGAAGATAATTGTAGATTTATGCAACAACATAATCTAGATGATGTTCTCTTTTCAAAATGTCCCGATATATTTATTGATGAAACAGAGTGGTTATGTTTAGACTCGCATCGTAAATATAATGCCAACTGTTCTGCAGTAACGTCACACCATATTTCTTCAGCAATTTATGATGTTGTGGATGAAGGCCTAAAGGATCCGATTATATATCAACAAGAAGGATATGTTTGTAAGAGAAGGCCAAAAGAAGCCATTCAACTCCACCTTTTTACAGAGTCAAGAAAAAATTCTTCACCTTAAATACCCATTTGGCCATGGAAGCAAAAAAACTCAAAGCGCAGGCCATCAATAATGCCCCTACTTCACAAGGTGTTGCTTTAATACAAACTGTTTGTAGGACTTGGTGGTGGTGCAAATAAGCTAGACCAGTTAAGATTTATGTTTATTGTGCAGAAACGAGTGGGTTGAAGCATCCTCAACAATCATCTGGTGAATGTCAACTATATTCTGAGCCAAATTCTGTGGAAGATCCATTGATCTACACCAGGTATAATTACTTTTAGTATTTCCATGTCAAGCTTAAAATGCTAGATCAAATCTGATAGTTGCTAACTTCATTGAGGTTTTGCTTTCAGACCAGATAAGAAGAAAGCACATGACATGAAGGACATTAAAAAATGTGATACGCAAAAATCAGAGGATCTTAACATTTACAGTAAGGATTTGGTTGAAGGTAATGCCGTTGTTATGTGTTGGCAAAAGTTACGTTTCCCATTGATCTATGGGAGAAGCTACCATGTTTGTTAGGCAGGTGTCCATCTATTATGATTATGTTAGTATTATGTAGCATCGCAAGACATAATTGACGTTCAAAAATTTAAAATGCAAAAAGTCAAAGCGCCTCCACATTTACGGCATGGATTCAGTTGAAAATAATTCTGTTATGTGTAGGCAAAAGTTATGCTTCCCATTGATCTATGGGTGAGTACCAGATTTTTTTAGGTAGATTTCCATCTGTTAAGATTATGTAGCGTTATGTAGGATTGTAGATTGAACAGTTAATATTATTTTGCCTATTCTCCCACAATATGGAAGCATTTATGAATAATGTATTATAGAATGAAGGATTAGTTACCTTTTTAGTCCCCAAAGAATGTGATGTGTCATTGTGATCCCAAATTTTAAATTGTGTCAATTAAGGCCTAGTTTGGGAACAAGCTATTTTAGTAACTTTTTTGCTTTTTACGAAAAGATGTGCAGAAAAGTAGAGGGAGTGATATGACAACTTATAGTGACTTTTTGACCAAAATAGTTACTCTCCAAGTGAGGCCTAAGCCCTCAATGTATAAAAAGTGTTTCATTTTGGTCCCCCAACTTAACTTTGTCTGTAGACTTCATTAAATTTAGGGGTAAATGCAGAAACTCAATTAAAAAAAATACACTTTTAGCTCCCAAAGTAGTGATCCGTGTCATTTTGAACCCCCATGTTTAGATTGTGTTAATTTACTACCCAATTTATAAAAAGTGTTTCAATTTGGTCCCCTAACATATTTTTGTCTCTCTCCATCTGAACTAGGGGTAAAGCGTTAAAATCATAATTACATATCAGCTAAAAACAAAAAAAAGAACCAACATTTTTAGAAAGAAATATTCCTGCCATCCAACATGTATATATATGTTGCTTCCGACATTTGCGAGCCCTATAGATGTGTGTATAGAGAAATTAGATTTAGGTTTTTATCCAAAAGAGTAATTTGTTTGAGGGACAGAACTGTAATAAAAAAATTAGAAGATGGTGTGGGCACTGAGAAAATGAGGGGTGTGCAAATAGAATTAACTGGACTAAAAGTGTATTTTTATTAATTGAGTTTCCACATTTACCCTTGACTTTAACAACACTTCCAGATAGAGTTAGGTTGGGGGACTAAAGTCAAACACTTTTTTATACATTAGGGACAAATTTTAGACATTTGTGACCAACTGACAAATTGCATACTTCAGGGACTAAAAAAGTAAAAAACCCTAGAATAAATTTAACTTTGTTTTTTTTTTCTTCACCATTATTTGATTGTCACTTTTGTTGCTTATCACTTTATACCTTCATCATACCCATATAAATGATATACTTCTGATTTTATGCTCTCTTAACCATCAGACTGCACATTGAAGGAATCTTATGATCCATTAGATTCTGGGCTAAAATGGCAGAAGAGCTGTCTATGGACTGCAGTTGAGTACCTTAGCGTTTTTTCTTTTCTTTTTGAAATCACATTCTATCATGATTACCAGTTTGTTAAAAGAACTTGGGGTTGTCAAGTTATGAAATTAGTGGTTACAAAGTGATTTTGTTTTCTATACCGAGGGGAGACAAATTACATAATCTTCACAATGAGAGTAATATACTTGATGTCTCTTCTGGGATCTTGCATCTGGCTGGTGATTCATTAGTTCCTGAATCTATCAATAAGAATTGTCTGGAGGATGCCAAAGTTCTCCAACAGGTGGATGAGAAGTTCATTCCAATTGTGGGTGGTGGAGTGCTTGCTATTATTGACCAGGTTTAAGCACTGCTCTTCTTTCTTTCTTTTTTTCTTCTTGAGATCCATCTATCTCATGTTTTTAAATTTTTGAAAGACCGTAGACCATGCTTCTTGCCAAATGATATATTTAGGTAGTGTTCTAATCACTGGAATGGAATGGAATGGAATAGAATTATTATTCCATCAAAATATCCATTCCCATGTTTGATTGACTAAAAAATATATTGCAAATGAAATCATCATTCATCATTGTAATGGACTGATCATTCCATTCCATTCCATCTTATTCTAGTGAGCCAAATAGAACATTAGTTCACAAGTTAAAACATTATGCTATGGACGTTGTAATTGTGGACTGTTTAGTACCTCTATTACATGGACTCGATGGTTTAGGGCAGAGTACCCGTGTCGACACGATACGACATGGGTGCGGGTGTGAGATATGTGTCAGATTCGGCATGGGTTTCTTGGACATGGCTGACATGAGAGGAGAAAGAAGGGTTGTTGAGAGAAACTTACAGTGGAGCAGTGGTAGTAACAGGGTGAAGATCTATGTCGATTTGTGTCTCTGTGTCGTCTTGTCTCTGTCTTCATCTATGTCAATCTCCTGTTCTCTCTCTCTGTCTTCTTCTTCTTCTTCTTCTTCTCTCTCTCTCTCTCCCTCTCGTCGATTTGTGTTCTCTATCTCTCCCCCCTCCCGTTTTTAACATATAAATAAATCATATAAGTTGTTATATAATAAATGTAATTAAATCATATATAATAAAAAATCTAATAAAATCTATAAAATAAATTATTTATTTTTTATTTATTTTAACATAATTTATTATTCTTTATTTGTTATATTTTTTTTATTTATAATATATATATCAATTAAAAATAAAAAAAAATAAATTATATAAATAAATTAAAAATATTATCAATAAAAATAATACATAAGATAAAAATAATAAATATATTTAAAAATAACTATTTAACTCATCTTTATATAATAAATATATTTAAAAAATAACTATTTACCGTATTCCCGTACTCGTATCCAAATTTGGATCCATATTTATGTATTTTCAATTTTTAATTTTGAAGTATCCGACCCCTAGATGTACCTGCACCTGCGCCCGCACCCAATATCTACACCCAAGTCTGTGTAACATAGTTTAGTACTGCTTCTCATGATTCTCAGTCGAGGCCTATTTTATCTCGGCAGAATGTTCAATGACACCAATTGTTGAGATGTACATAGCACAGGAAATCTTAGAAGTGGATTGAGGACATGGCATGGTTAACAGTTTCTCATATGAGAATCTTGTAACTGGGAAATTGTGTCAGCATTAGCCAGTAGATGCCTGGTAGTATATATACATCTACATGCAAACATGTGTGGGCTTGATTCGTGTACATACCAACACACATAATCATATTTATTGGCTTAGGGTTTTGGAGTCTGCTTCCAGCATTTGGCTGCATTTCTTACTTTGCAAGTGATTGTCTTTTACAGCACGCTGCAGATGAAAGGATCCACTTGGAAGAACTACGTGAGAAGGTAAAATGCTTTTGTAGTTCAAACTTTTTAAAATGACAAATCCAGTGTGGCTAATAGACTAGTGAAATTTGTAGGTGCTATCTGGAGAAATGAAGACAGTCACTTACCTAGATACTGAGCAAAAATTGGTATGTCCATTTCACAGTATATGCTGGGGTTCTATTACAGCCCTAGATGCAGTGCCAAGTTAAACATTTATCTGAAAATTTTTAGATCTTCACTATTGATTTTTATTGTTTTCAAAACTATAAACAGGTCCTGCCTGAAATAGGGTATCAGTTGTTGCACAACTATGCTGATCAGATTCAAAATTGGGGTTGGCTCTGCAACATTCGTTCTCTGGGTTCAAGGTCTTTTAAAAAGTAATTTTTCTGTGTTCTGTGTCTAGAAAATCTTTAATTAGTACTGTTGATCTATGTGTCAATCATTGTGTGAATGACCTTCAAAGATATTAACCCCATACCAATGTTGGTGAACAAGTCTGTCAGATTTTTGTTTGTGCTGATGACTTTGGAGAACCTTTTGGATCTCCTGCTTCATATCTTTCGTTAAGGATTTGCTGGGATGATTTTTTTTTTCCCCGCTAAATGGATGGTGTTAGAGAATGCATGATATATTGCATTTGTCTTGTATACAATTCATCTTCTAAATTCTGAGATTTTTTTGGTGTACACCCTTTTGTGTTTTTACAGGAATCTGAATCTTCTACACAGGCAGCCAACTGTTGTCACACTTAATGCGGTGAAGAACATTCCTGCCCCTCTCTCTCTCTCTCTCTCAGCCATTGAACTTCTTTTACAAGCTTAAATTTTTTTTTTTTTCTTGATTGTATTACTAGTTAGTCTGTCAACTACGTACATACACATGCATATATAGAGGAAAATATTATTGCCAGAGAAGTTATTGTTATTACTTCCATAGACATACACATTGACCAACCAGGTGCTTTAAATGTTTAAGTGTCCTCAATGTTGTATATTTACTCAAGATGTATAACATTATTGACATAGTTCAGAGATCCGCAATCTCTATTTTGTCTCATTATTGAATATCACAATTACTTTAATGTGCAGGTGCCGTGTATTGTAGGAGTCAATTTGACTGATGTAGATCTCTTGGAATTTCTTCAACAGGTAATACAGAGAAGTTTTTACAGTTCCATTTCCATGATTTTTCTGGAGTTTATTGATTCATCATTCATTATCTAAAATTTTCCCAAACTATATTTGTTGATTTTCTCACTCCAGTTTGTATTTGTGATCAACAGCTTGCTGATACAGATGGATCATCAACTATACCGCCATCCGTTCATCGGGTCCTTAACTCCAAAGCATGTAGAGGTATAATAACCTCAATCTTTAGGAAAAATGCTAGTCTGTGTAAAAGTTGCATTAGTTACCAATCATCCACAAATTAAGTTATTTAATGCTTTATGCGAGGTGATGCTTGTCCACAAAATATTCTCATATGGACTAGTGTCATTTGCCATTTGCCGTGGTTTTTCTTTCTTGCTTCCTGATACATCTCAAATTTCCAGCATGTTAGCAACTTTTTAGCTGCACCGGAGTTGTATTTCCTGCTCTTAAAAGGGTGAAAGCTTCTTTCTTGGGGATTATGTTCTTAATTTTGCTTATTGGTTTTACTATTTAGGTGCAATAATGTTTGGGGACACATTGCTACCTTCAGAGTGTTCCCTAATTGTTGAAGAGCTGAAGCAAACATCATTGTGTTTCCAAGTGAGTTGACAGTACCCTAGTCTATTTGTCAATCAATACAAAAAATTGAGAGTTTGTTTTGCTTATCTGAGAGAGAGAGATTGCTTAGCTGCATTGCTGATAATTCTGGAGAGTTTGTTTTGCAGTGTGCTCACGGGCGACCAACAACTGTCCCTCTTGTCAACTTGGAGGCATTGCATAAGCAGATAGCTAAGCTTGGATTGTGGAATGGTGGTTCTAATGAATTGTGGCATGGGTTACATCAGCATGTACCCAGTTTAGAACGTACAGCACAGCGTTTGAGCTCTGCCAGAGGTCTGTCTTGATGAGTAACCAGTTGGTTTTCCAGATTCAGTGGTGGCTGTGGTTCTCCACCAACGCGCCTTTTTTCCTTGCCACTGTGAACCCATTCTTTCAATTTGTTATGTATAGTTCTCATTTTGACCGCTGAAGTACCAATAATATGTTGTACCAGTGTAACAGAGTCGCTTGTAGTTTGTAACGACAGTTATTTGCACACAATAAAATCACACCTTATTTTTTCACCTCTTTTTTAAAATCATTTAAGGCAAAGCTACTTGGCAGATGTGTGATCAAAACATCTAGATATAGTTGCTTCTTCTCTTGTCCCTTTTTTTTTTTTTCTCTCTGTCCAGCAAATATACTAAAATTATGAGTGCTAAAATCATACATGGACTATGTCAAAATTTGAAGTAAATACCTCCAAATAACCCCATTACTGTGAATGAAGTTGGACAACAAAAAAAATAAAAATAAAAATTCCCAATGTATATCATCCAGAACACAATAGACGTTAAATCAACACAGCCCGGCAGCTGGACAGAAGATATAATTGAATGAAAAAATTTGACAACCATCTTTCTCAAAGAAGCAGCAATTCAATCATCCAACAACCAGGTGGGCTTAATCTACTGCATGCTAATGATGTCCATGCTGGTATTCCCTATGATTTACATATTTTGAAGTGCAATGACCAATAAAAGGATTAAAGTAGACACTATATTGATTCTTCTAATGAATAGATTGGTAAAATCAATTTCTTAAAATTTCCCATCTTCCGTTAACAGAATATGAAATGTATATCAATTCAATCATGTACAAAACACTCAATTGAGGGAACAAAATTTAGCACAGTCGCCAATCTCATAATGATGTTATATTATATCAGGTACCATTGACCAGCAACTGTCCGAGAAGGTAGATTGTGGTGCATCATAGCTCTTTATTCGAAACAGTTCAACACCATTGATTATTTTATCTACTTGGAACTTGAGTGACCGGGTTGTCAGTGGCAGCACATAACGCCTTCCAGATTGGGATTAACATTTTCACTGGTGGGTGAAGTTCCTGGACAAGAATTCAAGCCCTATTTGAGTCAGTACAAAAGAGGGAGAGTGGGGGCTGAATGGAAATAACAAGGGGCAACATCTTTGCAAAAAATAGTTCCTTATTTATTAAACAATAAATCACCCTATTCAACTGCTTTAGCAATCAGCTGTTCTTCACAGAATGGGACATAGGATGGGTCCCACATGTGGGGTGTGAAAATCCTCTATGCACTATAATATGCACTTCAAGGCTCACTTGTTCTTTGTGACTTTTTAAGTTATAATCATCATTAGGTTTTTCCGAAAAGCATAGAAAGTACAAATGAGAAAACATCATTTTACCTTGAAAACTAACACAAGTTCTTCTTCCTCACGTACAATCAGAGACAAGTTCCAATAACAAGTGACTGGGGTCACACATTCATTCAGGACAGGTTTCAAAATCTTTGCAATGGGAATGAAGCGGTGGATTATTCTCCCACTATGTGAAGGAAAAAAATAGTAGTATTAGTGAAGCCGATGATTAGAAATGACAAAAGGAGAAAAAATACATATAACAGGCAAAACAAAATATTATTCTTCGTGATTGTTTGAACTGGTGAATAGAAGGGAGATCCTAAGCATAAACTACTCTAGTGGTGCTATTGAGCAGCTAAAGGCAAGGTTGGCCATATTCTTTTTTAGGCTAGAAAAACTGGAGAATGTTTTGGGTTATGGAAAAAAAGGGAAGAAGAGATACTCCAACCAGTGCTCTTTTGTAACTGTTGCTTCAGTTTGATAGATATGATTTTTAAGTTTAATATCACAAATATACTTATGAATGGATGAGTTCCATAGCTTTTGTTTTGTTTAAAAACAAGCATCCTAAGATATAGGCACTAGGGCTGCAAACGAGCCGAACCGAGCCGAGACAAGCTGAGCTTTGCTGAGCTCGAGCTCAGCTCATTTGCTTATTGAGCTCGTTTATTGAGCTCTAGCTCGGCTTGACAAGTAACTGGACTCAAGCTCGGCTCGATAAATAACTGGACTCGAGCTCAGCTCGATAAGATATTTTTTAATATTATTTATATTATTTAAATAAAAAATACTATTTATATTATTGAATATATAAATATTTATTATATAATTAAAATAAAGATAAACGAGCCGAACTTATTAGAGCTTGGCTCGTTTATTAAACGAGCTGAGCCAAGCCTATTCATGAACAACTTGGTTCATTTGCAGTCCCAATAGGCACCAATCAATATCCATATATTTTTTTTTGGACATTGCTATTCAAAGAACCAGCAGAGACATTCTAATAAACAGAGTGTACCATTGAACCAACTTTTCCTTTTTCCAGTTTGACACCTAACATATATTTGCAAATGGGAGTTAGATCCACTCTCTCAATAAATGAAAAATTCTCATACATAAAAAAAATAAGGAAGTACCTGCTGTAGTGAGTTTCAAGCTGGACTCCAAAAGCTGGCATGATTATGATGGACTCTGAAACATTAAGACATAAAACAAAGTGAACAGGTAATGAAAATACCTCCCCAAAATGAAACAAATAAACAACTAGCTTATCTTGCGGGGAAGTTAAAAAAAGGAAAAAATATAAGGGAAGCTAAGTAACAGCCGCAATCTTGCATCATAAAAAACCAGCTATCAACTGCACATAACATAATGAAGATTTAATTTAGGACAGCAAGCATTCTTATCCTCATACTACTTGTTTGGGAACTACTCTAATTTGTTTGTAGACTATCTTTTTTTTAGGGGGGAGAGAGAGAGAGAGTGGATAAATATCAGAGAATGTTATCCAACTTGTTCTCATAACCACTTTTTAATAGTCCACATATCAAAAACATAGATACAATTCAGAAAAAATGGCCGGTGTAATAGTCTAAATTTGTGGAAAAAAATATGTAATTACCAAATGGCTTGTGTTTTCAAGAATTAGAGAACCTTATGCTGTGCAGACCAAGAGAGAGAGAGAGAGAGAGAGAGAGAGAGAACCTTATGCTGCAAGCACTACAAGAAAAGTAGCATATAACCACG